TTTTTTTTTTTCCCAAAAAAAAAAATACTTTTTTATAAAAATTTTAAAAAAAAAAAAAAAAAAAAAAAGAATGAACGTCTAAAATTTCATTCTTATTTTTTTTCTTAAATGTATGGCAGATTTATTCGTTCTTTGTTTCTATTGCCTTTTCATCTTGCTATTGTTTAAATACAAAGGTTTATTTTATGATTTCTCTGAGGGGGGACAATTCTAGACTTTTCCAAGATTGTGGGGGTCCGTTGAAAAAAACACATCTAATGTTTACTGTAGGCGCTAATGGACATGACGTGTGTGTATATGTCACAAATCTGGGATACCTTCTGGCCCTGTCTGTGTAGAAACAGGTTGAAGTCAACCTGCTGCTGAACACCTCTAAACTGCTAAGCGAGGCAAAAGCTATGTAATGGTTCAAGGGTGTAATGTATTGATCACAGATGGTTGGTGGATTTGAGACAGAAACCAAATGATGAACCACTGTGTTGTGGTACATCAGGCATACTTCTTACCATTAACACGCAAAGGACAAGTCGAAGGCGTCACACACCTCCAGGAAGGTGTCACACACTCCCAATGTGATTAATCTTTTGGGATGGGACACGTCTCATCCCATGCGGACATTTACATCGAATCTACTGAGATCCACTTCACTCCTCCTTTGGTTTTATTTGCAAGAGTGAATATTACTGGCTTGAGTTGTGATTTATAATTAGCCAGACAAGCTAATTGGTCTTTGGCTTGTCTAAGAGACATTTGATGGAAATGTTTTGTTAAAGAGGCTTGAACAAGATGCTGTGACCTATTCCCTCCTTAGTATGTTGATATACTTACTCTGCTCTTGCTTCATTTTGCTCTGTGATGTTTTGAAGACTCAAAAGCTTTTAAGATCACCCAACGTCTCCACAGCCTTTATGAACAGCAGAGCAATTTAGAGCAGAAATGGAAAGGAAATTGAGTCTGCTGATATGAAACCATGAATTATCATAGAAACAACATAAGAGTAATGTTTCCTACTGGTTTACACCCGAACCAAAGGTCATCCTACTATGACTGGATGAGCCATATCTCAATTTCCCTCTAGACATGGACATCTTCTAATGTTAGACTTCATACTTCTTCATTCATTTGATCTCTCTCTAAAATACTTTACAAACTTGTTACTTCTCTTCCATCCTTCGATCGCGTTAACCTTTTTGCAAATGTCAGCCATTGCACATGTAGACAGCATAGCGAGCTAAAACAGTCATTTACGATGTTCTTTCTGAAGCGAGGACAGGTATCTTTGGATCACAACCCGGTGGCCAAACCAGCAGTGTAAATTCTCCGCCTATGTGTGGATCAACTTTCCTGTACTTAAACGCACCCTGCAGCAAAACCAGTGTCGCATAGCTGCTCAGATCCCACCTGTTATCTAGTAGAGTTATGCAGGAACGCTACACTGCTACACAGAGCTGGGTCTCTATAGATCCGCAAAATAGAGATGCAGCGCTCCAGTGAGTAAACATCTGCAAATATGTAAATTATTCAAACATTTTTAATCTATTGAACTTTTACAACATATTTTGTCTAGAATCCTCTTCAGGTGACCATCAAATGCAGGTCTTATTGTTAGTCGGCCATTCCAAAATGTTGAATTTCCACTTTTGAGGTCCATGTATTTGTTGATTTGAATGTATGTTTAGACTCAATGTGATGCTAACTAGAATCTTTCTTTATCTTCAGCTTTCCACTCTGAAAAAACACAAAATCTTAACTTGTTAATAACTAAGTAAGCCAATAATGCCTTAATATTGATGAAAAAGTACTAGTTATAAATGAAGTAATCAACCAGTGAAAAAATATTTTTTCCTATTAAGGATAATGATATGGTTACACCTGCCACTAGTATCTAGTGTCACCAGTGGCGAAGGCAGAGACAGTTTGCCAGTCACGGGTCAACACAAGGCAGATGACCATACACACACACACACACACTATATATGTAACTATATATAACACTGTGGAACCTTTTGTATCCTGCTCCTGACAGACACCTTTATGTAATGATAATTCATTTAAAAACACTTCAACTTGAATGAATCAGCAAAAGGTTTCAACAAAACACTACTGCAGTTTTTTTTAACTTTCTGTTGTTTTTCTTCCCATCAAATTTTTTGCCAATTTGTATGATTCATTTTTTGCAATGAAATATTCCAAATTTATTTCACATGAAGCTGTATATAAGTTGGATGATTTAAGCAAGTCCCAGAAACAACTAAAAGTTTAACAGCAACATAAAAAATATAGTTTTTAAAATTTAAAATAGAGAATATTTATGATTCTAAGTATAATAATTTTTCTTAAGATAAAAAAACTGATTTCTATACAATCCAACACATCCTAAAATTGAGTTGAAAGGATAACAAAGCTAAATACTTCTGCTGTAAATGACAATGAAATAAGACTTAAACAGAAGCAGTCTTGTGACGTACACGGACACGACGTCACGCGATTTGTAGAAAAAGAAATAAAATAAAAAAATTAAAAAAATTATCTGTAAGTGACAGAACAAGTGGCTCCCGCCTCGCCGGGTCCAGTTTTACCTGCACGTAGTCGTTGAGGGTGTACAGGTCAACGCAGGAGTTGTTGAACAGGAAAGCCCGGGTTTGGTCCATCAGCACCGCATGCTCTTTTTCCTCCAGCGGAGCCTCCAGGGAGCGAAACACCAGCGCTCCCATCACCAAGTAAAGGAGTACCATGGTGAAGATCAACAGCAGGGTGGAGCAGCGCATGGCTGCGCCGCCGCTCAGTCCGAACTCAGCCTGGTGCCTCTCTCTGCCGCCCTCAGCTCTGACGGGGCCTCGATCCCAGCTGCTGCAGCTGAAACATCAGCAACCACAGAAGCGCGCGGGTTTTATTCTGACCACACAGCGTCTGAAAGTGGCTCCTGACTGCCAACATGCCTGCAGCAGGCAGTCCAGTTACATCAGCTGCACCAGGCATTAAATCAGCCCGGGCTTTACTGTACCGCTGACACACAAGAAGATGGGGGGGGGGGATCTGTCATCTGGCTTGCCTGGTGACACTCTGAACAGAGGCCATTGTGTGTCTGTTTATAAAACGTCCACGATGCGTGTCGTGAACCCAACAGACGGATCAAACTCACCTGTTGGCCCTCCTTATCTGCCCACGCCTTCGTTCCTTTTTTGCATCGGCTCTTATGATGGTGTCCCTGGACCCGTAGTCGATGGGGAACCCGTCACCCTCGCACTCCAAGGAAGGGGACACTGCACGGGGAAAGACACACTTCAGACCTTGATGTCACCAATCAAACCAGACTTTCCCCATCCCTATAACTAGTGGCAAAGTGAAGCAAGGTGGAGCTTTCTGAGGAGTGTGTGGGGAGGGGGGTGGGGGGTCCTGGCTCTTTATCATCAGCCGGAGGAGAGAGATGTGAAAGAAACAGGTTGGGTGGGATGACGCTGATCGCTGTTGGCTCAGATCAAGACAGCACTCTACTTTATTAAACCCCAAAACAAGAGTATGTGTGACTCTGCACAAGTCCACCGTAGTTAAACTGCAGCAGCTAAATGTCATCAGAAGCTCAGACGCTGAGTAAAGTTTGAGATGCTCTAATTTGGTTATCATCCTGAAAGGCTTGGGTTACCAGATGCGATCCTAAAAGCAGTGGACTGCATGCGGGAGGCGGGGGAGCAGCATAAAGGAGCACTACAATTCCCTGAAGTTCAGAGATTGTAGCTCTTTAGTCAGCAGATCTGTTCTGGTCTGCATCCAAAACTTAGAGCAGTAAACTGCCACACAGTGACAGCTAAACAGACGTGCACTCTAACCAGTTTTACAGCAGCTGGGAATGCACAGAGGGACTGCCCGCTTAAATATGAGCACGTCTCAGTCATATATACATATATAAATGACTAAAAACACAACATGATGCTTGTTTGTCGTCACATTTTTTTTATAATGCTGGTACACATTTGGAGTCAAAATTGAAACTTTTACACGCTTAACTGAGCTCCTCTGCGACCAGTCGACGTGAAATTGCCAAGCGAATAAACACCTCAGAATGCTAAGCACGCTGCGAGACACTTGACAGAAGGAAAGTGTAATATGCACTGCGTTAAGTGCCAACAGGGCTGCTGCTGCTGCTGCTGCAGCGCAAACGCAGCCCTGCATAACGATCCACTTTTATTGCCACTCGGGAGTCCATTTGAATCCATAAGTTTCAGCCTGGCAGATGCTGCGGACGCTTTGAGGCATGTGCGCTTACCTCAGACCCGAAGGATCCTCAGGAATCCAACGAGAGGTGCGGCGGCGGGGATGGCGTCCCGTGGAGTTCAAGCAGCCGCATGCAGACAAGTGTGTGTGAGAAAAGGAGCGCGGTCGGGTTGTGCTGAGCACACCAGAGAGGGGGAAAAAGGTGCTCAATCAAACGGACTTTACACACAGAGCGAGAGAGGGAGTTAAAGAGAGAGCTGGGATGGAGGTTTGGCAGTGTAAGTCAGGCAGTTTTTGGTTTTTATTTGTATTTTATGAAAGATTTGCTAAATTATTTACTTCATTATTGTGCAATTCTTATTTTACTTTGCAAAAAGCAAACAAAACTACTAGAAAAATCCCCCAGCAGGAGTGAATTGAGTTGTACTGTAACAAGTTGGTCTATCAGTGCCACATTTATTTATTAGCTCACTTAAATCCTATTTAGTCTTTACTTATTTATTTACCTATGTGTAAGCCTTCGGTCTAATACCAGGGATTTTTTGAGTTCCTGTGCTTGAGTCCAGTGAGACCTGGCCAACATACACATGCTTACATTCGTACTATTTCTGGCTCATCTGCATCAACCTAGAATTTCATTCATCGGTCTTCAATTTCATTCTCCACTTTGATGGCTGGCACTGCACCACACGCAGAGGAAACTGGAGTCCCACAAACAGGAAGGTCTTCAAACCCATTGACCTTTTAGTCTGTTTCCCACAATAAATCCAGGAAAGCTAATGTGTTTTATTGAGTTTTAACGCAACACACCAACATGAGGTTGAGCAGTTGAACGAAACTGAGTTCAGTTCAATTCGGTAATAATTTATTTATGCCCAAAGGGAAACGAAATGTTGTAACTCATATCATCAGATTATTTTCAAAGAGTCCAAGGTGTTGCTGTGAGCAGCAGCACTGCTAATCCCCCTCGTTTGCTAATGCTGCTACTCTTTTTTTTTTTTTTTTTTTTCCCGTTTTTTCTTGCAAAGTAGCTCAAGCTCGGTGAGAGTTGATGAAAAGTCTCAGTGTACATCAACTTTCAAATTCTCTGATTTAGGACTGGGTCATTCACACTGGTGAGTATATTTTGATCTAGAACATCGTTTCTGAAAGTGCAGGCCACAATGAAAATGTTTGACTTTTTCCAGAAAATCTCTGGGATTAATCTAAATTTTTACTCATCTCCTTGGGTTTTTGGATGACATTGTCAGATATATGTGCTCTCAGGGAGTTGGATATATAATCTTCAGGGTTTTTCCCTAGTAGTTTCAGTTTGTGAACATTTTTTGGCTACCAAGAGAATCTGGTGAGCATGAGAAACCAACTTTTCTTCTTTTCTCCATGTCCCAGGAGCCTCCAAAATGGCGGTCTGGGGGACATTTGTAGAACCTCAAAACGATTTCGGGTGGAAACTTAATTACAATTCACACGTAGCTTAAGTTCTGTGATGGACTGGTAAGGTGTTTGATAATGGATGAAAATGGCTTAATTTGGTTTGATGGTCAGATGCAGATGCACATAAAAACATCCGGGGGTGTGATTTCAAGTGATGGTTTTAATACAAATTAAAATCTTAAAAACAAAATTCCTCCAAGTTTTTGCTTTCCATTTAATTTATTAGAAAAAGGGGGCCACAAACACCCAGGGACTTTTAAAAAAAAAAAAAAAAAACAGATTTTGGAATGCCCTTAACATAAATTTGGCAAAATATTGTAAGAGTGAGCCATATCCTGTTCACTGTTCTTATTGTTGAAAATACGTTTCCGTGGCTATCTTTGTGGGGACTTTCCATTGACGTCCATTCATTTCTACAGCCTAAACCTTACCTTAACCCTATCCTTTACATACCTAACCTAACCAAAACTCAATTCACACCCTTAGTGCGAAATCTGAGCCCTGAACCATAAACAGCGTTTCCCGTTGTGGGGACCAGGCTTCGGTCCCCACAAGGAGCAATTGGTCCCCACAATGTAGTGTCAGGAAAATGGTTCCCACAAGGTATTACAAACAAACGCGCGCGCGCACACACACACACACACACACACAAAAAAAAAAAAAATCTAGAATATTAAGATCAACTTGACAAAAATACGGGACATGATTTGCAGTTACTTTTTTTTAAACTGGAAGAAGTTTTTCATCTTTCAAACCTACAACGATTTTGATTCGCCGCCAACAGGAATCACGAAATTAGACTGCTTCGAGTATTAAATTAAAATATTGTATATTTAGTCTATAGTTGAGCAGGTAAAAATGGAAAACAAAATAGTTTTTGCTATTTTAATAATAAAAACCAAAATATTTTGCAAGTTCATTCAACTTGGGGCGTTTTTGACCGTCGAGGCAAAACGTTTGGACACCACAGTCTCAAATGGTCCTTGAAGCTTGGTGCGTTTTTCTTCCATCTCCCCAGATTTTAATGCTCGATGAACTATTAGCCACCCTCAAGTTAAATCCATCTTTTTCTGTCTGGCTCCTGAATGTCTGTCTGCATTCATAACCTCCCCTCCACCTCCCACTTGTGACAGCTGGTTCCCTTATGGTGCGTGATCTGATCAGATGGCGCTACAATGACTTTAAAAATAAGAACAACATTATGCGTGTGTGTACTTTGTCTCTATGACAATTGTTTTCAGTGCGAGCTTTGTGGCTTTCTGTCGCATCAGATAACATGTTCCCCGTAATCAGAGAGTGATTATCACCCTAAATACTGGTTACCATGCTACCAACACATCTTCAGCTGTTGTGCATCAGTCAGTCTCATTCGCTCCTTCGCTCTCGCCAGTTCCTCTCGTTTCTGCCCCCCGGCGGCACTTCACCGACGCTCTTGGTGGAATCTGACCGAGCGTCCGAGAATGTGTAAATATTTTAGATAAAATCTATGAGTTGTGGCCGAAACTGCAGAGAGAGGTGGTTCTACAAAGAGCCGAGACAGAGAGAGAGAATATAAATGAGCTTTTGACGTTCGCATCAGTTTAAAAACGATCTGAAACCGTCTAGTACTTTGTGTTCAACCCATCACAGTACGCACTAAATCAGTTAATTTGTCATTTCCATTTGCGTGCTCCGTTTGCCTAATCTTTAAACCAAGTGCTGCTATTTGATGTTAATGAGAAGCCGCCTTTTGAAAAAAGTTCAACAAGCATTTGACACACAGTACCATGCTGTTTGCTTTATTTTTTTTGCTACAGGGAGTTTTGCTTGCTTTCTCTGTCTGAGCCTAATTATTAATATGTTTTGTAAAGTGATTTTCCTCTGTTGAGACTTCATATTTCATTTTATTTATCGTTTTCTTTCTTGAATATTTGAAATGTCTTCCAGTTCCAGTGTTAAATGTTCTTTGGAAAGTTTATTGATCTCTGAGAGCGGGTCCTTTCATTATCGTGCCTTTGTTATTACATTAGCTGAAAATGTTGTCAAAACGACAATATTATCATTGATTGCAATAATTTCTGGGACAATTTATCCATCCATCAAAACTGGTTAGAGTGACAGGCCTACGTTGCGTTTCCTAAGATTAAAAATAAATCAAAACACACTGAAGACTGTCAAAATGTAAATTTTAACCGCACACCTCTATAAATTCTGTATTAAATTAATTGGTTGCTCATTTTGCTGATTAATAACGTTTCTAAAACAGTCCTTGTAAAGGCGCTGCGTCATGAATCACAGCTCAGCGCCAGGGTCGCCGAGTTTGAAACGCAACATTCACAGCCGATTGATTGTACACGGCTGCTGCGGCGCCAAAAAGCGCTAAACTTTGAGTTTCTACGACTGTTATAGTCGAAGGAACATCGAGTAAAATGAGCTGAGACGGACCCGACTTCAACGTCTTCATCTTTTCCTGCAAACTCGGGAAACCTCCACTGGGTTTCCCGACTTGCTGAGAGGCAGAATTGGATTTATTTTATGCACTGCACCTAATAAACTGTTAAATACATTTAGCCGCTTCAATTCAATCTGCTTGAGAGCTTCCGTCTGTCCGATCTCGGCAAAACTGAACTCTGTCCAACTGCAGTGAAAGAGGTGTGCCGTTGCTTTGAATG